TGGAGATCTATGATTGTTGACATTGCTATGACCTTGATAACCTTCTGCTTGGTTCCAGCGCGGCTCTACATTATTATCGAGTCTTTTATTAGTCTACGAAAGCTTCCAGGAGACGCATATCAGGTTGTGAATTGGGCTGAGCTTATTCCCCATTGATAACTGGAATTCGATTATAGAAGCGAATGAGCATAACTCGCATTCTTCCGAGACTTGCCATCGCACAAATCGAGCGTCCTCGCAACACAAATAACTACTGGGCACACTTGCGACTAATTAGATGTCTCGGGTCTGTCGGATGCTATCCTCAGAGCAGAGAATTACTGTGGACATCCCTGCAGGAATGCTGCATCGAGCTGCGATTGAGCAGCATAGGTAAGCAGTGTTCTTGTCCATTGCAACATCCGCTATTCGGTTGGCCTATCAGGAGAATCGTCTCCCTTGTCCAGTATGCGGACAGGGTGGAAACCCCCTGAGGGGTTGGGCCAATAAATTCGCCACCCAGTACCTGGTCGATAGACGATTGAGCGATGAGATTGGCGTACATCGGGACTCACCTTGCTTAACTCCTTACTGAGCGAGGAAATAGGAGGATCGACAGGCTTAGACGKTATGGAGGACTCGACTGTGTACAGCGCGAGAGCTGTAGATACTGGCGGTCACTCAGTGGGTATATGAGGATATGATAGGTATTATTATTGCGTCGATATGTTTTGTTTGGGAAGGATACGATCGAAAGATTGTCAATAGTCTGACATGTCCTTCCCATGCTGCTCGTTCTGGCCCGCATGGCAGTGGGCTGTATTGCCATGTTATGCGCTCTCGGCGCCCCCGTCAGTATCTGTTTCGGCCGAAATGGGTGATGAAGGGGTGAGTGATCCAGTACTCTGCATATAGGGGCATGCCGCTTGCATAACAGTATAAGAATTGGTAGAATAATCATTGCTTTGAACTCATATGACATGTCATGTCAAGCAGGCGCGCCTAATTGCAGGCGTTGACTTTGCAGGTTCTACTGTTAATACTTCCAAGGAAGAGAAGACCAAACAGGCGGAAAGATCGGATACGTCCAACTGCACTCTATTTCCGTGCTCCTTACTTCACTGATAGTCCTGACCATGTTACCTGGTAAGGCGACGCATTAGACAAGCGCTTGTCATGTGATCCCCCGGTACGGCGTAACATAGGGAGTAGTCAGGTGGAGCGGTACATTAGTATGGGCTTAGTATTGCGGTATTAGCTAGAGACCATTCAACCTTGAGAACATCATACTTGATCAAATCTGAAATGAATGCTATAGTAGGTATAAGCAAGGAATGAAGTCATTAGGAGGCATTGTCAGATGAGACTTGGGATCGCCAATCAACCAGGAAAGTGGAAGAATGCCAATAATATATGGGGGAAGAGGGGAACTATGAGTCCAGTGATGTATTGCCCATAGTAGGTAGTAAGCAAAATCCGGAGAACGAGACTTACTCCGAGGGAACAGCCTAAGGCATCCAACGTTACCCCATAGGAGCTTAGGCAATCATCCATCTTGGCGCCCATAGTCCGATCTATCCGAGAGCGGAGTTGACACCGAGTCCCCGAAGACTGCTAGGTTGCATTTCATTTACCCGCCCCAGGCGACGTTGCAGTGTCTGGCAGTCTGATTCTGAGACTCATATAGGCAAAGATGACGTTTCATACAACAATGCAAGTTCCCCGCGTTAAAAGGTGGTATGCGAGGATAATACTCTGGACGAGGCCGTCTCGTCTCGGCCGTACGATCAGTGCAGCCCAACCCCACGGGATGCGGATGGCCCACGCTTCACCGGTAGACCGGGGAATCCCGATTGCAGCGTTCCATCTATTATTTTCCCCCCAATTATCGAGTTCTTGCTTTTTCCAAAGAATAACTACACATACTTTCAGTTGCAACGCAATTTAATGTTGATTACTCAGCAGTATCAGTACAAAGAGGTTGGGATGCTCCTCATAGTGTGGATGGCTTGTATGGACGGCTTCTTCAAGAACACCCACATTCGGATTGATTTCTTCTGGTAGCACTGTATGATGCAGTAAGATAGCAATGAATCAGACGAGGCGTACTTTGTTATGTAGAGGCCAAAGGGGGCAGACGAGCTGTGGACTAAAGCGGTTAGTGGCAGCTGATAATCAGGTAAAACGATCAGATAAGATTTCTGATGGAGTCTGTGGAACTGCCAGGGACGCAACCTGATTGGGTTATCCCACACGTGATGTGCTGACAGATCACGGATATGGTTGGTGTTGAGTCAGTGGCCGCCAAAGCTTGGCATGACTGGACGGTCACTAAATCTCCTTAGCAATTCTTACAGTTGGAGAGATAAGAAACGGGGTCAGAATGACTCGATCCTGTCAGCAATGATAATATTTCCAAATCAAATCCCATAACACCATGGAGATATGGAAGGAGAGAAATTTCTGACCGGTGGCCACACCCACGATGATTTCCCGGAACCCGAAAGCGGACAAGGCTTGGGCGGGTTTCCGCCGATAGATAAGCAGCCTGCAATCTGTGACCTTAAAGTATCGAATAACAGTTTATTCTCCACCCGAACTTCGGAAGATTCCCCTGTCCAATCATCATCCTCCTCTTCTTGTTCCAGCACTGTTTCCTCCCAATCCCGGCCTTGTTTGCCGGCAATTCTACTGCTGGTCGCGGCCTCTCGTTGGTCCCTGCACTGTCTGTATGCTGTCCTCCCTCTCGTCCGACTCCGGCTTCCCTCTTTCGCCGTCCTCCGCTGCCCCTCGCACCCCTCCTACTGTGTCGTCCATCTCCAGCATAAATACATCTCCACGTCTCTTGTTCTTCGCTTCTTTCTTGCTCATCCATCCCATCTCTGCCTTTCTATTGTCTCTAGTCGCCACTTGACCTTTTTCCCTAAAGAGACAATACCATCTAACCATATTCAAAATGTCCAACCTTCCTCACGAGCCCGAGTTCGAGCAGGCCTACAAGGGTGTGTTACACAATCCCACGTTTGATGTGGCTTCAGGATGATTCTAACAGTTGCATACAGAGCTTGCCTCTACCCTTGAGAACTCGACTCTCTTCGAGAAGAACCCTGAATACCGCAAGGCTCTCGCCGTTGTCTCCGTCCCCGAGCGTGTGCTTCAGTTCCGTGTCGTCTGGGAGGATGACAACCACCAGGTCCAGATCAACCGTGGATTCCGTGTCCAGTTCAACTCGGCTCTTGGTCCCTACAAGGGTGGTCTCCGTTTCCACCCCTCCGTCAACCTGTCCATCCTGAAGTTCCTTGGTTTCGAGCAGATCTTCAAGAATGCTCTGACCGGTCTGAACATGGGTGGTGGTAAGGGTGGTTCCGACTTCGACCCTAAGGGCAAGTCCGACAATGAGATCCGTCGCTTCTGCGTGGCCTTCATGACCGAGCTGTGCAAGCACATCGGTGCCGACACCGACGTCCCCGCCGGCGACATTGGTGTCACCGGTCGTGAGATCGGTTACCTCTTCGGCCAGTACCGCAAGATCCGCAACCAGTGGGAGGGTGTCCTCACCGGCAAGGGCGGCAGCTGGGGTGGTTCTCTGATCCGTCCCGAGGCCACCGGCTACGGTGTCGTCTACTACGTCGACCACATGATCAAGTATGCCACCAAGGGCGCCGAGTCCTTTGCCGGCAAGCGCGTTGCCATCTCCGGCTCCGGTAACGTCGCCCAGTTCGCTGCACTCAAGGTTATCGAGCTCGGCGGTTCCGTCGTCTCCCTGTCCGACAGCAAGGGCTCCCTGATCGTCAACGGCGAGGACAGCTTCACCCCCGCCGAGATCGACATCATCGCCCAGCTCAAGGTCGACCGCAAGCAGCTGTCCGAGGTCGCTACCACCGAGGCCTTTGCCACCAAGTTCAAGTACATCGAGGGCGCCCGTCCCTGGGTCCACGTCGGCAAGGTCGACGTCGCCCTTCCCTCCGCCACCCAGAACGAGGTCTCCGGCGAGGAGGCCCAGGCCCTGATCGACGCTGGCTGCAAGTTCATCGCCGAGGGCTCCAACATGGGCTGCACCCAGGCCGCCATCGACATCTTCGAGGCCCACCGCCAGGCCAACCCCGGCGCCGCCGCCATCTGGTACGCCCCCGGCAAGGCCGCCAACGCCGGTGGTGTCGCCGTCTCCGGGCTCGAGATGGCCCAGAACTCGGCCCGCATCAGCTGGTCCGCCGAGGAGGTCGACTCCCGCCTCAAGGGCATCATGGAGTCCTGCTTCCGCAACGGTCTCGACACCGCCGTCAAGTACGCCACTCCCGCCGAGGGCGTCCTTCCTTCCCTGGTCACCGGTAGCAACATCGCCGGTTTCACCAAGGTTGCCGAGGCCATGAAGGAGCAGGGTGACTGGTGGTAAACGCCTCACCCCCGCTCTCCATATTATGATGACGACTTTTTCTCAGCGATTACCCTTTTTCCTTTCTATTCTCTCTTCTGGTTGATCCCAAGCGCATTGAATTTAGGACGATAGAGGCGCCGGGTTTCGGGTATTTGGATTCCATTCTTGTATAAACTTCTCATGATTTAGAGCATTAGCATTATATCATGATTCAATATATACTATTTTCAAGATTTTTTTTAACATTTTACGACTGCGCACATTGTTCTGAACCTTTACTCGAAAATACTGCAGCGGTATCGGCTGAAGACCCGTTCGACATTGCTGTGTGCCAAATGAAAAGGACTAAAGACAAGGTATCATTAGTATGGGAATAGATTACATGTAAATATCGTTAGTGGTTCTTTCAGATCCTAGGCACCATCCCCCATCTACCCATGAGTAAGTACTGTCAAAAACTTCCGCCCTCAGATATCGAATACATATATGTACTTCGTGAACATGTGATAGCCCCGTTGTCACTCGGAACACCGTCGCTAAATGCCCATAAAAGGAATTAAACAAGACTAAGAGAATTTTTTGTTCCAAAATCGACCAAGGTTGGGTATCATGCGGGATAAAGGGAAATGAAAAAAATATACAAGGGTCATGATTCCGGCCACGGGGCGAGGTCGTGCATGAGCCCGCCGCCGCTCCTGGATGATGATGACGATGACGACTGCTTCTTTGGAAGACTCTTTCTGCCCGGACTCGACACCGGGGAATAAGTTGTTTCGGGGAGGTGGATGGTAGGAAGTGGATCGTTCAGCACGCTGCGACGGCGGGACAAGACCCCGCCAACTGATGGGTTATCTTTCTCGCGGGGAACGGGAGCGAGGGTGTCGTTCGGGGCCACGCGGCTACGATGACGCCGGCGATGACGGCGGAGATACTCGTTGGGGACGGGGTCGACCTGCTTCTGGGCGGCGGGGACAAAATTCAAGTACAAGGGAAAGATAGCGCCGGCGCAGAAAAGAGCAACAAGAACGCTGTACGAGTAGGAAATACCCCCCGCAAGCTGGGCGGCGTACTGCGCGAAGGGGAAGTAAACCCCACCGCTGATGGCGGTGGCCAGCAGCGAAGCAGCCGTTTTCGTATGACGGGCGGTGCCACGGAGGGATATGGCGAAAATGGTGCTGAATGCGCCGCTCTCAAAGAGGTAGACCATCAGACCCATGGCGACCGCCGTGGGGCCGGTTGTCTTCATGCATAGCACTGCAAACACAATCATGCCAATGTACGAGAGCATCAGGACCCATCGTGGTTTCAGGTACCACTGCAGGAAGGCGGTCAAAAACCGTCCGACCGCAAAGAGAGTGTGTCCGATCGTCAAGTATTCGAACGCGCCTAGGCTGGAGCTACAACCGAGTTAGCGATCTGGGCTGGCCATCGAATGCAGCGGAAGGATTCTTACTTTGGATTCGCAGCCGCGACAAAGTCCTCGAAACTCTGCGAAAGAACTTCCTGGCCTGCCACATAGAAGAATTGGGAAAACACCCCAAGCCCCAGGGTCAACCACACCACAGGCACTCCTAGCACTTTGGCCATATTATCCTCGCGGCGACGGTCGGCCAGTTCTTCCAAATCTTCATCGGATGCCTCGGGGATGGGCAGATAGTAGAAGGCCACGGCTAGGAGCACGTCGAAAAGAGCGATGCCCAAGTAGGCCCATTGGACGTCGACCAGAGACCCCACATCAGTGACCTTTCTGAACAAGACCTTTTTGGCCAGAAGAGGCGAAACGACGCTTCCAATGGCCTGCACGCCCTGCGAGATATTGAGACGGATTTCCGAGTTCTCCAGCGGCCCGCAGAGAGCAATGAATGGATTGGCGGCCGTCTCCAACACAGCAAGGCCGAAGCCTACGATGAAATTCGAGATTGTAAAGGCAGAATACGAGGCCAACACGGCCGAGGGCCAGAAGATGAGCGTCCCACACGCGTATATACAGAGGCCTGTTATAAATGTCGACTTGAACCCCCATCGCTTCAGCACAGTTCGACCGACCAGTGGCGGGCCCACCAAGTACCCACCAAAGTATACAGCATGAAGACCCAGCGAGCGCCACGAGTCCAGGCGGACGATCTGCTGAAACTGAGAGTTCAAGGTGTCCAGTAGGCCATACGCGAAGCCCCACATAAAGAAAAGGATGGTCGTCAGTGCGTTCGGAGCGATAGATTCTTTGTTCGTCAACTTGAGCATGCTTGGCGGATTGTTCATGTTCACAAAGTCGAAAAACGTGATACTGTGCGGAGAAGACGTGCTGGTCAGAGTAGCCGTATTGGCTTCTGCATCGTGACGAACCGATTCGGGAGCCGTCAAAAACTCCAGCATGTCCATGGTCCCCGATTGCATTCCTCGGGTGTCAGCGACACTATCACTGCTACGGCTTCCTGACCGTGATGCTTTATTCCGGGCGCTGCCGGATTGCGAAAGCGATGGCGGTACATTGATAGGGACAGTGATAGCTCCCTCGGAAAAGGCGGCGGGAGGTTCGACCGAAGGAGGATGATTCAAATCAGCCGTGTTCGGAGTGTTGTCGTCCGTGTCTCTGATCAACTTCGGGATGAGACGAGCCACAAGGGGCTTCAGACCGGGGACACACGCGCACATAACCGACACGTTGACTTCGACAACCGACCACATGAATGAGAGAGATGCGTACCCTAGATGCGCCGTCAGCGATCCTACGGAACTCGGAGGATAGATTGGAAGCCATACAGCTGAAATCGTCCGAGGCAGATTGATAACGGAAATCTTTGACCGCGATTTGACGGGCTGTGGCTGCATCCTGGATGTAGGCGATTCGAATCACATCGACCACAGCCACGAAGAAACCGAAACTAAAGGTGATGATGAGGATAATCTTCTGTTTCCGAGGAAGGCGCATCTGCGTCAAAATGGGGATTGGGATGAACAAAATTGCTAAATCGGTAATGATGTTGACTGGCGAGGAAGAAAGGTATAAGGTGAGGATATCGATACAATGCGCATTCGGCGGCAAAGGATACGAGTATGCAGCCTCTACCGGATGACATTGAAAGACATTGACGAGAGTGAGGGCCAAGCCAGCTGCATTGACGGCAAAGAGAGTCACGTAATTGGCCCAGCGAAAGATCTTTTCGCCCTTGGTCAAGGTCAGGTAGAAGACGAGGATGGAAGATTTGACGGCCATCAACGCAGGATTCTAGGGCACAGTATCAACGACAGCCATTCGTGCATTCCAGGGACCAAAATTACTCACGTAAAGGACAGTAAAGGCATAGTCAGCACGGCTGAGACCGGGTCGATTGTCGGTTGGGATATCATGGTCGTGAAGACCCAGACCCTTGCTGGTCGCGTAGAAGAGCGAGAACGAGAAGCCGAAGTCGATCAACTGAGGTTGATTAGCTTTTGCCCATACGTCAAGGAAGGTGTCGAGGACTGCGCAACGCCTCAAACAGTGCGCGACGTACCCAAGCCAGTAGCATCAGATAGTCATGCAGGCCAACCCTCCGCACGACGAAGACCCGCGACACGAATCGCAGAGCTACAAAGACAGTCGCGAGAACGAAGAATATGACCGAGACGACCAGTACCTCTGGTCTGCGATCCGCCATGCTGGAGGAGCATGCACAGACCACTTAAAGCCTGTTCTCTGGCCTCCAGACCCAGACCAACCACGAACGGTTCAGACCCGCTCAAAAGCGATCTATAGAATTAAGCTCCCAGACGGAGGATATATATTCAAAACTCGACTGCGGAACGACCCCATTGTCACCGAATCGCAAGTTCGGAAGGGGGAAAGCGGGACGACTGGCCAGCAGTTGAAGGAATCCGAAGACGGCGAAGAGCGTTGCCAACAACTTTTAACTTTAAGTGGGCGCGGGTCCAAAGGAAGGGCGGAGAAGATGTGGATGGTGGCGGAGATGTCTGAGGTAAGAGTGGAAAAGAGGAATTGGACTGAGGTTGGAGTGATCAATAATAATAGACAGGATATGAAGAGATTGAGAGATTGGGAAATTGGGCAATTGGGGAAAAAGAGAGTCGACGAGGAGAAAATGACGATGGAGAGAAGATTCTGGGGATGTGAGGGGGGAAGAATAAGAGGGATTTCCTCAAGCGGAGAAAGCTGGTATTATTGGTAGTTCTTAGTCAACCAGCAACTTTATTTGTGTGGCTCGCGTGGGTCGACAGAACCATCGTCTGTAGGGTATGTATGTATAGGAAATGAGGGATAACTAGGTAGCTTATTAGAGACATTCTATATAATTAATGATATGATCTTCTCGAGGAAAACAGCGGGTTGTTTTTCTCTTCACCGGAAATTGGATTCTTGAACTCTACCAACCTGACGGGGAATAGGACAATAATAGTATTTCTGGGCATGCAGGGAAGGAAACAAACATGGAAGGGCGATCGCCGGAATGTGAGCCGCATATTTGTCATTCTTTATCATGAGCATTGATCATTTATCGTATAAATTGCTTGGGAGGAATAGATAGAAAGGTACTTTTGTTCATAGAGTCCTCAATCCTGACTTAGACTGTCTTATATGCTGAGGTACCGGAATGATGCCTAACTTCCGAACGCATAATCGTCATATCCCCAAACCATGCTACCGACGTAATCATGAGCCATGTCTCAGATCCTTCAACCTTCAAAGGCTTCATCTCCAACAATCAAGTTGCACGCTCCTGGACTAAGGTAGTCTACCCCAGTAATTAATTTCGCTCCATACCGCATGCGCCCTTTCCCCGTCCATGGCGCCGTTGAAGTTTGACCTCTTGCATGTTATGGAACCGACGCCTCCTTCGTCGTTACTCGTCCATAGTCCATCAGCCACAGGAAACTGACGAATCCGTCCMATCAATCTCACTTGAGGACTCGACTCGTAGAGGGAACTCTAATATTAATCTTCTTGTTCCAGGGAAGATCATCGTTCCGCTCTGTCTGTCAACCCGGATCATCCAGTTGGAACTGCTGTGCTTCGGAAAAGGCTCCCTTGCAGATTATTGAATGATCTCTGGGATCTCAGGGGTAGAAGCAACAATTGCAGGACTGGATGGAGGCTGACTTTCGAGTATATGCTCACCACTGACATTATAGATTGATTTTCATGGGTAGATGAGTTCGCCTTGATGCCTTAAAGGCCAGGTTGGTGATCTTCACAACTCAGGGGCCAGTATTGAGGGGATTTTTATTGTTTAGTGATTTGGTTAATATCGTCCGACATCGCTCTCATCAGCATTATCTGTGTCTCATTAAACAATTGCCTTCAATCTTGCTGTAGATGGCGGACATTTTCTCGAGAGAGCGCAGGTTGATGTCTTGGACGATATGTTCATTCCAGCATCCCTCCACGACCAGGTAATTCTCCTCTTCTTCACATAGAACATCGCAGGTCCAGCTCAATCATCTGATTACTGTTAGTCATGAATCCGGGATAAAGATGCAGAGATCCTCGCTTAACCTCTAAATGCGACTCTAAAGTGGAGACTGTTTCCTAACCCCTGCCTGTTGTTTCCATCACATGGTTAATACGCTGCTATCAATCTCGACTTCCCAGCTCAATCGACTCTCTACCTCCGAGGGAACCAAGACTTATCGATGTAACCTTTGCGCTCTTCACAGCTATGATTTGTGCCGGATTCCGTCGGTCTGCAGAGTTCTGTGGACGACTTTCTGCAGAAAACGCTCCTAACGGGGCTCCACCTGGATTGACTGCCATCTATAAGATCACGGCCTGCTCATCTCAAGTCTCTTGCCATAAGCTGGGAAACGCGCCTTCGATCTTCGGGCTAGCTTGCTAGGACAGCTTGAATCAGAATGAGATTGACGACTATTGTTGCTGGTCTCGCCTCACTGGCTACCATTCACGGCGCGTCTGGCCAGAACTTGGTCAATACGATCTGGGATGAAATCAAACAGACAATCACTTGTGCTGGCTGCGAGGTCTGTTCTCAGTTACAAGCCTCGAGAAATCAGGATAGTGATTGATCTGTGACAGGGACTCTTGGGAACTCTCAAGCTGGTCGCTGGTCTCGGACCAGATGTCTTGATGCATGTCCTGACCGATGTGTGCAAGCTGGCCAAGGTATGTCATTGTCAAGCATAGCAGATGAGACTTTGATGCCCGAAGACCTGACTGCTCTGTCAGGTGGAGGACCCCGACGTCTGCGCTGGTATCATCCAAGCCGAAGGCCCCGCCGCATATTACGTCCTGAAGCAACTCAAAGTGGGCTCGCATACCTCGAAATCGTTCTGTTCGCAAATGGTTAGCCTCTGCGACTATCCCGAGGTTCGACCGTACAACATCTCCTTTCCCGTCCCCAAACCCTCGACGCATCGGCCCCCTCCGAGCGGCCAGCCTCCGATCCGGGTCGCGCATATCAGCGACACGCACGTGGATCGCGCCTACGAGACCGGCGCCAACTACAAATGCTCGAAGCCCATCTGCTGCCGTGCCTATAGTGAGAATGACGCCCCCGGAAAGACCTCGTTTCCCTGTGGTCCGTACGGTCATCCCAAATGCGACCCGCCGCTTCGGCTCGAGGAGAGCATGATGGCCGCCATCGCCGCCATGGACCCGGCCTTTTCCATTTACACCGGGGACGTGGTCCCCCATGATGTCTGGTCGGTGAACCGGACTGAAGTATTGCACGATCTGAATGCGACATACAGTCTCTTGGACCAATTGGGTCTTGTCTACGCCGCACTGGGCAACCACGACACTGCGCCCGTCAACCTCTTCCCCTCGGAGCGCATCCCCGTCTCCCACAACCCACAATGGGCCTACGATGCCCTCGCCGAAGACTGGACGAACCTGGTGGGTGGTCCGCTGTCCGCGCCTGTTGTGCATGCGACCGACCAGTTCGGATCGTACTCGGCCATCCACCCGGGAGGCAAGCTGCGCATCATCTCGTATAACAGCGTCTTCTACTACACGTACAACTTCTACGCCTACCAGGAACCGATGGAGTACGATCCGAACGGGCAACTCGCCTGGCTCATTTCCGAGCTGCAGGCCGCTGAGACGGCAGGCCAGCGCGTCTGGCTCATCGCGCACATCCCCACGGGCGGTACCGACACCCTGCGCGACTACTCGCACTATCTCGACCAGATCATCCAGCGGTACGACGCAACCATCGCCGCCCTGTTCTTCGGCCACACGCACACCGATCTCTTCCAGGTCTCCTACGCCGACCCGGCGCATCCAAGCGCAGACTCCGCCTCCGCCGTCGGGTACATCACCCCCTCGCTGACCCCGACCTCGGGGCCCCCGGCCTTCCGCATCTACGACATCGACCCGGTAACCTTCGCCGTGCTGGACTACACCGTCTACACCGCCAACATCTCGACTGAGACCGCCCCGCAATGGACAAAATACTACTCCGCCAAGGAAAGCTACGGCTCCCTCCTCAGCCCACCCTTCACCGACCCAGCCGCAGAACTCACCCCGGCCTTCTGGCACAACGTCACGGCCCTCATGGAAACCGACAACTCCGTCTTCCAGGCGTGGTGGGCGCGCACCACCCGCGGGTTCAACGTGCCCGAATGCAACGCGCAGTGCGCGCGTGACCAGATCTGCTCGTTGCGGGCCGCAGATGCGCAGTACGGCTGTGTGCGCGGCACGCTGTCCATTACCAAGCGCGACGGCCTGGACCTCGGCGGTGCTGCCCCTGGCTCTGGCTCCCACGTGCACATGGAGTCCGCTCGGCCGCAGTGCGAGGAGGGCGGGCTGGCTCGGGTGTTGGCGGGCGTGATACGCGAGACGGATGACTTGCAGGGGTTGCTTTTGCAGCGGGCTGAACTGTATATCTAATTGTTCTATTGTATTAAATTAGAACTTCGGGAGGACTAGTATCTACTCCGTAGTCCGGACATAAGGAGTACGAAATTGACACGTGATCGTCAAGATTACCTACACATGGTGATCATGCCCCTGATGATCAATACGAGAAGGGCTGTACGGAGTACAGCGACCTACCGAGACCAAAGTCTCACCTCAGCCTCACAAATTAAACCTAAATAGGCCTAAGAACTCAAGACCGACGAGGGTCAGGTGAAAAAGCTGTTGCCTAAACTAAATAGCAAACTTTTCTATCATTGTTCGTAAACGGTAAAACGTTGTCCCTAATCTAAGAATAAACTGCCGTTCGTTGGATATGATGATGGGCGGAATTTCCTGATTCTCGTCCAATCGTATCGCAACCTGTTGCGCCTAGACCTCCCGTGTCTGTGTTTTCCCGTGCCGTTGATTTGATCGTAGTCGTCGTAGAAGTAAAAAAAGGAGAAAAAAAGGACTGCAGTCGCCATTCCGAGCTGGCCGGAAATGCAAGCGATTGCGTGTTCGGTTTTGCTGCTTCCTCGCTTGTCTCATTGCAGCAACAAGAAGAAGAAAAAACTTTTGGCTCTTGAGGAAGATGGCCAATGTCTTATGAACATGAATATAAATCGATCCACGAGCAAATGGGGCTCATGGATTTGTCTTGGTATAAAGGTCGAAAGAACGAGTGGAAGAAGATAAGTTTAAAAAAACGAGGAAGAGAAACTGTCCGAAGTCCGAACACGCTACAGTCCTTTAATTCAAGAAGCGATCAACGCTTTAGTTGATGTACCACGACGCGCCCTGGACACGGCCGGCATCCATATCAGCCAGCTCGCCGAAGAAGTGCCGGGACAAATCGACATCGGTGGGCTTGCAACCCATGCACTTGTCCACGACGGTACCGGTCTTGGTGATACCCTTGTAGGTGATGGTCACGGTCTTGCCGCAGTCAGCGTCAGTCATCATGCCCACGGGAAGCGCGACCACGTTCTCGGCAAAGCCGTCGTTGGTCAGACCGCAGCTGCTGGGGGCGCTGGCGGAGGTAGCCGTGTCGTAGTAGGTGAGCTGGCCAACGCAGGGGGAGTCCTTGGAGCAGCTGCCGCTGTATCCACTGCTGGGGGCTTGACTGGTGCTGCCGCTGTTGCCGCTGCTAGCGGCTGGGGCGGTGGACTGAGGAGCCTGGCTAGTAGTAGAAGTGGAAGGAGCCGCGGGGGCAGCAGTCTGATGAGTCGGCTCTTCAGGGGCGGGCGCAGCAGCAACAGAAACGACAGGGGTGGATACAGCGACAGGAGCGGGCTGAGCCTCAGGGGTTTCCGGTTGCGCAGCGGCCTCGATGGGCTTGGGCTGCTCGGGAGTAGGTGTCGGGGTTGGGGTAGACTCAACGACAGGGGGAGTGGAAGTTGGAGCCTGCGGAGTAGGGTAAATGGTAGTGGTCACATCGACGGTAGTCCAGACGACAGTGGTGACCGTTGTCCACACCACATCGTTTTCACGTTTGTTAAGGTCGACAGGGGCGGCGGAGCTGATGACAGCCAAAAGAGCGCTAGCGAGCGCAAGGGGCTTGAAGATGGGAGCCATTGCGAGAGTATGATATTGAAATCCAAGTGATTCAACGCGAGTATTCTTTTGTAGAGAAGGTGGTTTGTCGGATTGATCGACACGGATTTTGATAGATCGATTGAGTGAAGGAAGGAATGGGGTTCGGTCAGATAGATAGACAGAGACTGCGCAGCAGTATGAAGTATTGACTGATGCTCCAAGAGAAGGCTGGAGACTGGAATGAAGGAACGACAGGAAGCTGTCAGAGGGAAGGACTGTGTTGGTAGACGAAGGGGAGAAAGAGAGAGGGATATTGGCGCGGAGGGAGGAAATCGGTATTTAAGAGAATCCACCTGGGAATGGACTAGTTGCCATGTCTTTCACGCATCGACAGTCGAGACTCTCCAACAGTGTCAAACTAACCAGAACAGGGTAGAGCAGGTTAATTGTTAACCTCTCACTCAGGGACATAGTACACTACTTCGTACCTACTACCAGGGTGTGGTAAGTGAAAAATGAGTAATACGTACTCTCATTACCCACATAATAATACTTATTTACAGATTATTACCTGCGGGCCCAGTGGGTCAGTGGGCCAGTGATAAAATTCATGGATACTGGCCAGCATGGGATGAACCCATGGATCACAACCTGTCTGCAATGTGTGGTGGGCTTTGCTGGACAAATCAGACAAGGTTGTCTGGTCCCACCCACCGTTCACAGTAGTCCCCAGTCCTCTCATTGTTGGTGAGATCCAGGCACCATAGGTAATACCATGAAGTGGTTGCCAGCATTCTTGGGCCGGGCCGTTTCCCAGTAATAGGTTGCTATGGTTTCTGGTCATACGGGGAGAGCTTGCAACCTTGGGACATCAGCCAAATAGTCCAGATCACCGATGGTACCTGACTCTGCCAAACCACCCTTCAACCGGACACTTTCTGATCTGTCGATGCTCACCAGTAAGATGCTAGAATGACGTGTGATTGGGATGAAAATTTCAGGCTGAGCGGGTACCTGAATTGGGCCCGTCGGAAATCAAGAGCGATTGGCTGATTGGCTCAAAGGGAAAGCCGCCGGTGAGAGCACCCCTGCTTGGTGTTAACTCTCTTTAACTCTAAGCCTAATAAAGCTAGGAATGGTGAGCGTATGATTTATGATTGGCTGATTGAGGCAACTAGTTCCTTTGATTTGTCGCATCCGTTTTCCGCTAACAAAGCCTCCCCTTCGGTGCCTGAACCTGGATGCGCCTCAGCCTCAGCCACAATCCTTTTGCACAAATAATGAAACATGGGAGGCTGTGTATGATCTCTTCTTGTTCTCGAACATGAAGCGAATCTGTAACTTGCTTCATCTTGGATGGGAAAAGAAACCTTTCTTCTGTACAACCCGAGTCGATCTCTCCAAAGAGGAGGCCTCAATCTCCACCGCCAGGGTTCAGGGATATGAACCCAACCACTCGTAATGAGGCAAACAGCAGAGCCAACGACAAGAAGATCCGATTCGTATCCGGCCACTTTTCGACTGTCTGACATGTGTTCTTAGGTGGTCCGTGTACAGACCAGGAGTATTGGTCAGGTACAAGACACTGTGCACGCCACTCAGGCACACCAGTCCAACACCGGCCGCCACTGCCAACTGAGACAACAACGCAGCAGCAACCATCATGATTTGCGGATGTAACCGATGAACTGGCTCAAATTTCGCAGACTCATCGTCATCCTTACTACATCTTTTCGACTGGTGGCATTCACGATCTAGAACCAGGACCTGACAACACAACTGTCCAATAAATTATTCAATCCCCTGGCGGGTCTGTCGGACTTTGACGGGGAACTGTCTCTCTGTCGATAGGCAGATTATCCTTGACAAAGACGAGAAATGGTCTGATACTCGCAGGTTTCGACTCAGATCAATGATCGTTTTATACTCGATCAGTGCATAGTTCCCCATTTTTCCCTTATTCTCAATTAAATTTTTTTTTTTTTTTTTTTTTTTTTTTTTTGACTTATTTTTTCCTTTGTGTGTCTCTTTGTAGCAACTCTAGACCCTACAGATCCCGACAGTGACGATAGTGCATGGTGCCCCTCACCAAAGAAGAGGGGAATAAGGAAAGCAAATCTCCACATCTATTATTCTCTCGTCGTCATCCTTGAAACGAGAAAAACTCTTCACCGGATTCGTCCTTCTGTGGCAACTGTTAACAACTGGACTGGCAAGATTCACGAGCTTTGACCTCCAGACCGTTGAGGGACGATAAATCTAGACAGTCTAGCGTCAAGTCTGGACACTCGTCCCTGCAGCTCTTAATCAAATCGACCAAGCTTCAAGATTTGTGATCCATCGGCGTTGAATAAGTATGTACTGTGTAGATTGCTATCTGAAATATTGATTTAATAATTATCTAGGAGCCACTCCCTTGCTCCATACTCAGTAGATGCAGTCTGCCCTCAGTGGCTATTTGCACGGTTGGATGCAAAATGCTTCCACTTCATCTTCCGAGCATCCCATAGTCGCTGACCCACTCCACCCATTGACACATCATTACTCATAAATATGGCGACAAAAGAGGAAAGAGTGTGTCATGGACTTGTAAAAACTCATTCCTATTCATCCGAGTCGAAACTCGACAACATACTGCACCGTAAACAATCGACCAGTCAGGATCTAAGTACTAGAAAACCCTTTTCCTCCAAACAAACAGCATATGAAGAGTAACATGAAGAGTAGCCAGCATTGCCAGAGAAAAACGAACATAAGAAAAGACCATCAAGCTCATAATATAAATACATCAGAAACTGTATCAAATAGAAGCGCCTCAAGCGCCTGCAATCAATTACCATAAACCACCCCGACTAACCTTGGCACATCAGACAAGCCTCCTTGTTCTCGATGCTGCACTGAAGGACCTTTTGAGAGTAAATGTCGCTCTCACGCTCGCCGCTCTCCCGCTCATCATCTTCCTCCTGGGAGCCGTTCACCACGGTTTCACCATCGGCAGTGACATCGGCGGCAAGAGCTCGCGGGCTGCCGTCCTCGCTGTGACCATTGAGCGGAGCGGTCGCTGTACGAGGAACAGCAGAGTATGTGGTGGAGACGGACCCAGCAGCTCTCTTCTTGTAGGCAGTGTTGGCCCGAGCAACGTTGGTATCGGCGACCTTGAGTTGCTCCTGATCAACAGTAAACTGAATGGGAGCGGAGGCAGCCATGGTACGCAGGTAGTACATGCCAGTCTTCAGACCCATCTTCCATCCAGCAAAGTGCATACTGGTGAGCTTGCCCATGGTAGGCTCCTTCAGGTGAATGTTGAGAGATTGAGACTGGTCAATGAAAGCACCACGGTCGGCGGCCATTTGCAGGATGGTACGCTGGGAGAGTTCCCACACGGTCTTGTAGAGAGCCTTAATGTCGGCGGGGATATTGGGAATGTTCTGAACGGAACCACCATCCGCGATGATACGGTTCTTCATGTTGTCCGACCACAGGCCAAGGTCGACAAGATCCTTGAGAAGCCAGGGGTTGACGACCTGGAACTCACCAGCAAGAACGCGGCGAGAGTAGATGTTCGAGGTGTAAGGCTCGAAACATTCGTTAAAGCCCAGAATCTGGCTGGTGCTTGCAGTGGGCATCGGTGCCACCAACAAACTGTTGCGCACACCGTTCTGGGCAATCTTCGCCTTCAGAGCATCCCAGTCCCAGAGGTCCGTGGGGGTTCTGTCCCACATGTCATACTGGAGGATACCTTGAGAGACGGGGGAGCCCTCGTAGGTCTCATAAGGACCAAACTCCTTGGCCAGCTCACACGAAGCAGTCAAAGCACCGTGATAGATGGTCTCAAAGATCTGGATGTTTAGCTGTCTGGCCTCGGCAGAGTCGAATGGCAGACGCAGGGCAAGGAAGGCATCAGCCAGACCATTGACACCAAGAGCAATGGGGCGATGGCGCATGTTGCTCTTCTTGGCCTCGGGAACAGGGTAATAGTTGATATCGATAATCTTGTTCAAGTTGCGAACCAAGACTTGCACAACTTCGTGCAGCTTACCGAAGTCATACTCTCCACGGGCGGCGTCGACGAAGGTAGGAAGCGCGAGAGAAGCCAGGTTGCAGACAGCAACTTCGTCAGGAGCACTGTACTCAATGATCTCCGTGCAAAGATTGGAGCTGCGAATAGTTCCCAGGTTCTTCTGGTTGCTCTTCTTGTTGCAGGCATCCTTGTAGAGCATAAAGGGGTTGCCAGTCTCGGTCTGAGCCTCAAGGATAGCATACCAAAGCTTTTGAGCCTTGATGGTCTTACGGCCACGGCCTTCTTTCTCGTATCTATTTCACAATCAGCATATAGTCAAAGGACTAGTGGCCACGGCGAAAACTCACTGTTCGTAAAGAGCATCAAACTCGTCGCCATAAACATCTGCCAAGCCAGGGGCTTCATTGGGACAGAACAGAGTCCAGTCACCGTTGGACTCAACGCGCTTCATGAACAGATCAGGGGTCCACAGAGCGTAGAACAGATCACGGGCTCTGACTTCCTCCTTACCGTGGTTCTTGCGAAGATCCAAGAACTCAAAGACATCGGCGTGCCAAGGCTCGAGGTAAATAGCAAAAGCGCCAGGGCGCTTGTTTCCTCCCTGGTCGACGTATCTGGCAGTGTTGTTGAACACGCGAAGCATGGGAACAATACCGTTAGAAGAACCGTTGGTGCCGCCAATGTAGGAGCCTGTGGCACGGATGCGGTGAACATTAAGACCGATACCACCGGCGGTCTTCGAGATCATGGCACAAGTCTTGAGGGTGTCGTAGATACCCTCAATGCTATCCTCCTTCATATCGACGAGGAAGCAAGATGCCAGCTGGGGCTGGGGAGTACCAGCATTGAACAGAGTAGGAGAAGCATGAGTGAAGTATTTCTGAGACATGAGATGGTAGGTCTCAATGGCCTTTTCGATATTGTTGCCGTGAATGCCAACGGCAACACGCATCAACAAGTGCTGGGGACGCTCAGCAACCTTGCCGTTGATTCGCAGCAGGTAGGACCGCTCGAGTGTCTTGAAGCCGAAAAAATTGTAGTTGAAGTCACGATCGTACACAATAGCAGAGTTGAGCTCATCAGCATGTTTCATGACAATTTCATACGTCTCTTTCGAGATCATTGGCGCGGGTTGCTTGTTCTTGGGGTTGACATAGTGGTAGAGGTCCGAGATGACCAACGAGAACTGCTTCTTGGTCTGCTTGTGGAGGTTGGAAACGGCTATACGGGCAGCTAGGATGGCATAATCGGGGTGAGTGACGGTCATGTACGCAGCAGTCTCGGCAGCCTGTAAAAGGAACGGCGAATAAGCAGCTATCTTCCATCATTTGAACGGTTATAAGCCTTACCAAGTTATCCAGCTCAACAGTGGTGACACCCTGGTAGACACCAGAGATGACCTTCTGCGTGATAGCAGCAGCATCGACGTGTTCTGGGTCAAGGCCATAGCACAATCTTGATACACGTGCAGTGATCTTGTCGAACTGTACGCGTTCTTTGCGTCCGTCTGAAGATTTCGCATGTCAGCAAGAGTGTCCGATGTCCAGTGGCAAGAACCAGTCCGCCAGGAAGGGTCGAAGACTTCTTGTCGTGAACAAGAATAAAGAAAGAATATGAATCTGGATCATCCAATCCTTACCTCTCTTGTAGACAAACATTGTGACTGATATTAGAGACTCGAGGTCGAGGGTGATGAAGGAACAAAGGTGCAACGGGGTATAATGTTATATCAGGAGGTCAGGAAGTTCCACAAATGCTAACTGTTGAATCTAAAGGATGAAGAAAAGAATGAACAGGTCGTAATCTATGGGAAGGATGTTGAGCAAAGGGACTGAAGGGAGACATGAGAGGAAAAAGAAGTCGGAGGGGCAGAGGTATTTGATATGTCGCCAGGGCGAACGCGTACCCTCCTGGGTATTGACGCGAATTTTCGTGTTTGGACTAAATGGTATCCCCTTGAAGATACTGCATCCTTTGTAATCAATCCTAGATTTGTCAGGACTACGGTGGGCCGGGAACGCGCAGAAGCGCAGTCACATGACCTCTAGAGGGATTGCTTGTTTATTATTTCTGCTGACCGCAAGGCTCCCTTATTGGCACCACGAATTAAGACTCGTTTTCGATGATACTTCACCGAAGCATCAGTCATGCAGATGTGTTTTACGGAGGACAAGGAATAATCTCTGTTTGTACAGATATGTGTAGTCTTCTATGAGACAGGTCAACGTCAATCCATGACTCGACCTAGAATTGACAGAACGAAAATGAAGCAATAAAAAGACGATTCACAAATGTCGCAGTGCAACTGTCGATAAGATAAACATTTCTTACAGATCACACCCCTACAAGGACGCAGCAAAGCCGAAGAAGACGACAGCCGCAAAGGCTGCTGCGGAGACCTGTCGATCAGACGAGCCAGCTGAGACGGTCTGGGAAGTGGACGCAGCGCTGGAACTAGAAGTTCCGGATTTGCTGTTCCCAGAGCTAGAAGAGCCAGTGGCAGTAGCAGTGACGATACCGGTGTTAGATGCCGAGCCCTTAGTAGAAGTACCGGTAGCAGATTCCGAGGAAGTGGTAGAGGATTTGATAACTGTAAAGTTGTGTGGTTAATGATGTGGCCAATTCATCATTGTCAATTTTCGCGAGGCGCCTAGGAGAACATACCAACTTTGTGGCCTGCAGCGTTGCAGGTATCAGCGAACCACGTCAGGGCTGCTTGCTCATTATCACCACAAGTGTCCGCGATCTTTTTCTGCACATCATCGCCATTCGTAATACAGACAGCCTTGAGGTCGGCGGGATTCTTCTCGGCTCTGTTGTCGGAGGTATCAGCTAATGCTCCCTTTGCCAATGTCACATTTCAGAATCGCATCAAGCGTACCCTACAACCGAGAGAAGGCAGGCAGGTGTCTGCGCAGCAGCGACAATGTTGCCCAGTGCCAGGAATGAGAGCACGAGAGTAGACTTCGAGAAGAACATTTTGATGGTGGAGCGTCGAGACTTCGGACAAACGTATCAATACGAGTTATTCGATCAGGAGTGAATGAGTCGTAGAAACAAATATGGTAAGGTGAACGAGCGACAATATTGTAAACAAAGAGCGACTGGATGATTCTATTGAAAAGAGCGTAGGTTTGAAGAGTGTAAATCAAATGAATGCCTGTGTAAAGAGCGACAGACAACGATCAGTAGAACGGATAAAGATCTCAAAGCAGAATCACATCAGTTAAGCAAAGCGGGAATCTTAGGGGGCAAACGACCTTCGCGGAGCGCCCAGCGTCTTAATACAGTTATGACCCTGCCGATCAATTGTCCCTGAGCAACCTGGGTACATAGGTGCTTGTGCCCACAACCAATCTTACCATACGGCACTAATCCTGGATGTGGTTAGAGGGCTGGGACACGATTGGTGGAGTATCTGGGGGAGTCAAGCTTATGTAATATGACTCTATACTCCGTACCCAGTTCCCTTACAGTGGAGGATGTCTTACTGGTGTCGACTCGGTGTCTGGGTGGTGAGCGTTACTGCTTTCATATTTCTTCTAGGAGGCTGGCCTGAATAAGTAGACTATGGCTCCCAGCACGTAAGTCATAATGCAAATGGACAGGGACCGAGAGGTCATAAAGAGGCATCAAGTGGTGGTTGTATATGGTCGAAACGCCCAAAATGAAACACGACCATCCGTCGAAAACATAAGGCAATCACCTATCCCACCGGGTATCATAGTAACTGGTAATAATCTCTTGAACATCCATCCTGTTATCCACAATCTCCCGTCCGTTGACGAGATCGTTCTCCATCGCCCGTTTGTCCGCCTCAGCTTCATCCTTTGCGATCCCGGCTTGAACATGTCGCCGGACCAGCCTCTTCCGGGCAGTCTCAAAATCGACCTCAACGAACCATAGCTCATCCATGAGCTTTGCCGCTGAGCTCCATGGTTCCTTGTTCAGACTGAGGTAGTTTCCCTCGAAGAATATTATCCTGTTTGTCGGAGCAATGGGTATATCGTCATCAACCGGATCCTTGACCGCATGATCGAAGCTTGGAGCGTACAATATGTGCGTCTCCAACGTTATCGGCTCCCTCAGTGCCTGCACTAGCCTCAGAAACTTCTCGCCGTCAAAGGTGAAAGCCGCACCACGTCGCGCAGCAGCGTAGTCTGGATCCGGCATTTGAGCCAGTTGTGCTCGTGTGAGGTGATAGCCATCCATAGGGATGTCTGCCGCTATGGACGGCTGTTTAGCATATTGTTCTGAGTAGAGCTGGTTGATGCGATTGGCCATAATGCTGGCGAGTCCTGTCTTCCCAGAACCTGGAATGCCACTGATAGCAATCATCAAGCGAGCATTTTCTGGTAAAGAGTGGAATTTCTCTGTGGCATAGGTAGTTAGTTACATGTTGCAGAAAGCTTATCAATGTTTGGCATATGACATTGGAGAATGTATGCGCTATCAAATATTAAATGCGCTGAGTAACACTCACTCCATACTTTATCCACTAGCCTGTCTACTTGCTCCTCCATGCTGAGAAAGGTCGAGGATTGTTGCAAAATTAGATGCAACCTTGAGATCAAAGAGAGGACTTCAACAAAGAGACGGAAAGGTGAATGCTCCCTGTGTATCGGGTATCGGAAAATGCAATCGATAGCATGCGATTGCCCTCAAGAGGTGCTTCTATGGTAAGTTCTAACACGACACAGATGCATATGTATATGTGTCAGAATAATGATTTATCGCACCTTAGGGAAGCTAATGATTGAAATAAATAAACGCAATCGGCGGGGCTTGGTCATTGGAGTGGGGTTCTCTCTTCGCAGCAGCGGAAACACCAGCTACGTCACAAGAGGACTCCGTTGACGGCTTTCTAACAGACATCATCGCTGGTCAAGTTGCCTATAAAGATGGAAGACCAAATGAATGAGCTATTTTTATGATGGAATTCAGTCAAGGTTGCATACTATGATCCGTGATCGGTATTCAAATTTCCGAGCTTCAAGTTTGCTAAATGAGCGATCTTCAACCTCAAGGAACATGAGAACTAGCCATGCACGTCTTTTTAAGGTCTCAGCTTGATATCAGAGAATAGGTACCTAAGTCACCAATCCAGACGACACTCTGTTTTTATTGGGCAAATCACTGTTCTTAAACAGCTAACCAGCACCAACTGGGGCATATGTGCACAGATATTCTGACACGATTTATAGGAGTACTCTCAAGCAACACCCAGAACAAAGAGCTCCGCTCACTTGAGCTATTGAAAACAAAACCAGCTTGGGAAACCCAGGAACGCCCATCATCCTTCTCGCTGAGACCGGAACCACCCCGAGCAATTGCCCCTGATCGGGAAACGAGAAACAGGCATCATCATATCACAGGCCAAAAGATCAGATAAGCATTTTCATAACGGCCTAGCCGATGCATCCCCGGTCTCCCTGTCATTGGAACCGTTGTTTGTGCCAAGCCTGTGGCCAATGGCGGGAGACAGTCCGGCTGCTGCCCACCAGTCATCAGGTATGGCCTCCCTACGAGCAAGCCGATCGAGTATCGCTTGCATCTGCTGGAGTTCAGGATCGGTAGAAGAGTTGGAAAAGGCGAATGAGATTGTGGGAATAGGAGGATGGCTACTCATTGTTGAGTGCAAGTCATCTAAGCGTCTGGAAGTACCCATTTGGTGCATTCGGCGACGGTAMCGCCGCCGCAAAGAGAGCTGATTAAAATCTCCTTCTGATGCAGAATCAGAATCTGTGGAACTAGGATAGTCGCATGGATTGATATATTCAGGGTACGGATCGAGCACCATCCGCACCGTTGCTGTACTTGAATCGAGTGAGCTAGGAAGTGTCTGAGAAGAGCTTCCTGGATTTCTTGACCCCGTGCTCGATGATGCATTCAGTCCGGATGCTGACGCTGAAGCAAAGGAAGAATCGGCGCTAGGAAGATTGTCATCGGGCGTAATTGTAGTCAAAAGGGTTTCCCACGCGTCATTCGAAGCGTCATCATCTGGACTCATGCTGCGCTGACGATCACCGAGACCATCAACAGTCATGTCGCGATGCATTGTCCGGTTCGCCTCGTGTACAGACCGCCGACCAACTCGCCTTAGCAGGGGTACGGTCGACCCAACGACCTCAAAGCCGTCTGGGGGGAAAGTTGTAAGGCTTGGGCGAGTCTGGGGCGGCGGAGATATTCTTCTGTGGTATGCAATAGCAGGCGCAAAACTTGGCGTAAAAGCGGCAGTATGCTCTGAGCTCTGTCGGCGGCCAGAGTCGACCCCTGGTGAAKGGAGGCGATACGAATCTGAATTGAAGGTATTGCGCGGAATCCTCAATCGCTGGCTGGGACGTCCATGGCGAAGCGCTTCGTGCAGCAAACGTTGACCAGCCTCGCGCCTGTTGGCATCGCTGATCATGGAACTCAAATCGAACGGATCTTCACCGGAGGTAGTATTCGGGGCAGGAGACCGTATGTGCTGCTGTAATCCATGTGCCTCGCGCTCAATCTCGTCTACGATCTCACGAGGGAAGGGGGAACGTAACGAAGCGCCTCGTAAGGTGGAAGTACTATGACGCGAAGGGCGACGAATGGTGGCCTGGCGACGGATTGCAGAACGCGCAGCGGCAGAAGGATCTTTAATCGGTTTGTTCTTGCTGGCCTCAGGAGAGGGCTCACGGTACATTCTGCGCGCGCATATCAGTAAGGGTCGCTGTCCCATGCGCCGGCAGACTACAGGCCAGGAGCGCGTTGAAAATCAGAAATACTAGTCAAACTTACGGGATACCCATGACTGGAAAGTGTACGCGGATTTAGCAGATAACCTCAGGTAAATCCCATCAAAACTGCCCCTTAAAAACGAGAGTCACGGCCACGAGGTCGCGATTTATTCAGGAAGAAAAGCGCGACGGTTGCGGAGGGGGGCGCAAGAACGATGATGGTCTGCCCTTGTACAGGCAACGGAGTACAGGGTAAGCTTAGGCCCTCCGTAGTTTGAAGTAATTAATGGAGTAAGCGGCAAGATTCGTTTTGCTCCAACAGGGAAGCGGAGGCAATGAGATTCGGGCCTGAGGCTGCGACTGTGGGACGTAAGGAGGCTGGGATGTGGCGCTGAGAAAACCACAGAACTGTGCGTACAATGCAGTACGGAGCACGCGGAATTTCCCTTAGGGGAAGTTCAGCGGTTAAAGCCCCCTCATTTCGGGAAACTACCTGGTGCCTCAGGGCTCAGGCATCAGATCCTTATCACCCGGCCGTCATATGTCAACCGGCCTCCGATATCTTAAAAGTCAGCCGAAATTGATCGGAAAGTTGCAAAGATCTGCACTACTGATCTTGAGCAATTTCATATCAATTTCTTTTACCATATTTTGATCCTTGGGTCTGAGCTGGTCTGATTGACTCCATGAGTGCCTAATCAGTCCGGAACCGTTCTTGATCATGAGGATTGTTTCTGATAAAACTTCAGACGTCACACGATCGGAGGAATGATTGAGCTCGGTCTTGGTCGCATATCTAGTCTCCTCCAGCAGACTCCTCTGTCATGGAAGGCCATCCACATTGCTGGAACCAATGGCAAAGGCTCCATTAGTGCCTATTTGTCGCACATGTTGACTGCGGGTGGTGTACGCTGTGGTCGCTTTACTTCTCCTCATCTCATCGATCGATGGGACTGCATCACCATAGGTGAGAGCGTTGTGCAGGAGTCTCTTTTTCGCCAGATTGAGGAGAGAATCAGGTTAAGGGATCAATCACTGGGAATAGGGGCAAGTGAGTTTGAGCTGCTCACTGCCACGGCATTTGAGATCTTCAATCATGAACAGGTTGAGGTTGGAGTGGTCGAGGTGGGAATGGGTGGTCGCTTGGATGCTACGAATGTGCTGAGCGATGTATTGGTGTCGGTCATTGCGAAAATTGGGCTGGATCATCAGGCCTTCCTGGGAGATACGCTAGAACTAATCACCCGCGAGAAGGCCGGGATATTGAAG